TCTGTTCACACGTTTAATCTCATCCTCTCGGCCTGTAAAAACGAAAGCGCTCTTGTTTTCTTCAGAGGTAGTTAGGCGACCAATACGCGAGACACTTTCCCTCACTGAGCCGAGTGATCCGACAACAGTGGGGAGTGAAGAACGATGGGCTCGATCATCAGCTCTCACCCGCCTGCCTGCTCCTGTTCACTATCGGATCCGTTTCCCACCGCTGAGCAGAACCGTTCTGTCTAACGGTATTCCTCAAACTCTTGTCAGAGCTTACGATCAGCATTCAGGAGAGGCGCTTCTTGGCACCCGCTATCTCGAGGGCCATCAAATCTGGGCAGAGTGACGGAGACACAAAGCAGATGTTGCTTTTACAGCATGCAGTGGTCATCAGGGAGGCAAACGGGGCTACATGTTTCTGTAACCTTGACAGCTATAATTAAAGTCATCATTCATTTCTATTTGAAATCAATCAAATTTCTTCTTTTTAAAGAAAGAAAGAGAAAGCAAGTGATCAGGGGAGCCAGCTGGGCACGTTAAGATCCAGGGCTCAGCCTGGCTTAGTGTAGAATTGTTTCGGGATGTCATCCCTCCAAAATTTCTACTTTTTATTTAATGTGAGGTTTTATGCATCAGCAAGATGTGCATTAACTACCATTAGTCTTTAGTGTTTCTTATAAACAAGATAATTCATAATAAGTCATTTATCGTCTAAGCCGCTTATCTTCCTGGGTCGCGGGGGGGGTGTTGGAGCCTATCCCAGTGCTTCGTGGGTGGAAGGCACAAATCACCCTGGACAGGCCGCCAGTTTCAAAGGGCAGACACACACACTCACTTACATGTGGGGCAATTTAGTGTCTCTGGTTGGCCTGACGGCATGTTTTTGGACTGTGGGAGGAAACCCACACAGACACGGCGAGAACATACAAACTCCACACAGAAAGGACCCTGGTTGCCCAGATGGGGAATCGAACCCAGGCCCTTCTTGTTACTCACTGTGCAACTGTGCCGCCCAACAAAATAATAAAAAAGGAAAAGAAAAGAAGAATGAAAAAACTATTTGTAACAGGAAACTTGTCAAAAACAGATGTTCCCATAGTACACTGTATTAAAAAAATGCAGCTTTTACTCTTAAAAAAGTAAGAAACCACACACACACACACACACACACACACACACACACACACACACACACATACATTTTCTAAGCCGCTTATCCTTCTGGGTGCTGGAGCCTATCCCAGCAGTCAGTGGGCAGAAGGCAGGAAACACCCTAGACAGGTCGCCAGTCCATTGCAGAGCAGACAGACAGACAGACAGACAAACAGACAGACACACACACACACACACACCTACGGGCAATTTAGTTTCCAAATAGCCGGACTGCATGTCTTTGGACTGTGGGAGAAATCCCACACAGACACCGGAGAACATACAAACTCCACACAGAAAGGACTCTTGTTGCCTGGCTGGGGAATCGAACCCAGGCCCTTGCTACCCACTGTGCCACTGTGCCACCCAATAAAATAATAAAGCAAAAGAAAAGAAGAATGAAAAAAAATGTGCCAAAAACAAATGTTACCTCAGAACACTGTATAAAAAATTGCAGCTTTTAAACTTAGTCATTAATCAGCTTAACTGTTTTAAAATGTTGTGCTCACAGAGCTTTTAATAAGTTAACAAATGAATAATTTGTTTTTTTACATTTGTTAACTTCATTGTAGTTCAATGAGCTCAACATTTCAAGTTAGCTCAGTTACTCACATTTTAAAGTTAAAAAGCTGCAATTTTAATACATCAAAGTTCTCTGCACATTTCCTCTCTCTCATCGATCTCTTCCACACGGCTCCTCTCTAATCTCACAGAAACATTCTGTACTTTTTAGATGTTTTGAAAGCTAAACAATCATTTGGTGAAACTTTTCTTGCCTAAAAACAATCAACAACTCTGTATCTCTCTAAACCCCTAAATTCCGTATCTCCTTCCTTCTTTAAACACAAAGGAAAAATGTCTTTATTAAAGGGCCCATTTTCAACTCTTTCGTATTTTGTTTATTTTCTTGATGTACTTTTATGTCATATATGTGACATAAAAAAAGAGTCATTATTCATTTTTACATTATTTTTCCAACCTCTTGTTACCCCTTCGAATTAAACAGGCTGTTTCCTTTCCTGTGCTCCCTATAACTTCAGAGTGAGTGGGTGTGGCTAAACTGCTGTAGGCTGAATCAGAGGATACATGTGTTGGTTTTTCTGACATCACAAAAAGACTGACTTCAAAAACGTGTTGTTATTGCAGCTTCATTTCTGTATATAGACCGTATGGACTGGTACGTTTTGAATCTTGTTTACATACTGCATTGATTTATTTTAAACAAGTGACGATAGTTTTCCACGATACAGGCCCTTCAGTATCATCTCAGGATATAAGCATCTAATGAAGAGTCACTGATTTCTGAATTCTTTCTCCTCCCTTTAGGAGAAAACAAGAGATTAAAATCAGCATTTCATTGTAAGACGTTCTGGAGACAAATGAGAGTGCTGAACGAGCTCAGAGAGCTTTAAAGGGAAATGATGAAACCTTACATGTTTCTTATGTAAATGTTATTTGACCAAGACTTCAGTCAGACAGAAAAAGAGCCATTTGTGAGAGGAATCGCTCCAAAAGAGCAGATTTTCTGATTTCTAACAGAACGTATCCATATCTATGAGAAGTAAATGAAATCAAGAGGAGATCTCATTTAGAATATTTCTTAACTCTGGGAATAAATGCTGGCTGGAGCACCAAAAACACCAAGGCCATTCTGCATTCCAGACCTTTCAACAGAAGCAAAATAATCCCAATACACTCAATATATTCTCAGAGCTGGGACAGTATACTTAGTGACTGAAGGATCAAGACGACAGCCCATCTCAGACCAAGATTAATGAAAGCCTACTGGCAACTTTTTATGTTTTACAGAAGCTTTTAACTTGTGGTCGCTGTGATTTCATTACTGGCAGCCATTCACATCAACTAAATATCAAATTAAAGAAACCACACAGTCGTCTCGTAGATCAGTTACTGTAGACCATGCTCAAGATACAGATACAGCACTGTGCAAAAGTCAGAGTACACCCTTCGTCTGTTTCATTTCCAGGCAAAATAAGTATGTTACTTATTTTTAAACATCAAGAAAAAGCAGAAACAACTCAGTCTAATCTCAGCTGTCTGAGTCTCAGTGAGTCACTTTTAACTTTTATTCCAGCTTCCATTCTTTTCAGGAGACTCACTTTCAGTTCCTCAAAGAATCTGCAGACACACCTCCAAAGTTCAGTCTTAGAAGCTGGTTGATCATTTTCTGAAGTAACCAAACACATTCAGTGGTGTTGAGGTCTGGACTCTGGGGTGGTCAGTCCATCGTTCAGCTTCTTCGTTTGGTGTGTCCGTCTCCTTTTCTCAGTGAGGTTCTTCTTGAACAGCTACACATCCTTTCAGACCCACAGCGCTGAGTCGTCTTCTCACAGTGGAAGGATGGACAGAAACACCTGTGGATGTTTTCAGATCTGAAGCAGCTTGATTTTCTCCTCTCTCTCAGAGATGAAAGCTTTAAGTGCTGTTTATCTGATGGGGGCAGTTTTGGGGTCGACCAGGTCTTCCAGGTGGTTGTTAGGAGCAGAGACTGATAAATCATTGTGATGATCAGTTATTAACTGTGTTACTGAGCTCTGCTAAAGCCTGAGTAGACTGATAAATCAGTGTGATCAGTTATTAATCTCATGCGTGTCCTCCATGATTATGTTCCCTGCAGACACGGGTCACACGTCCAGTGAAGTACTGCATGGGGAGGAGCTTCGGTGGTACTGGGAGGAGTTTTTGGTTGCACTGGGAGGAGTTTATGTTGTACCGGGAGGGGTTGTGATTGTACTGGGAGGAGTTTTGGTTGTGCTGGGAGGAGTCCCGGTTGTATTGGGAGAGGTTTCCGTTGTACCAGGAGGAGTTTAGGTTATATTGGGAGAGGTTTCAGTTGTACTGGCAGGGCCTTCGGTTGTACTGGCAGGGGCTTTGATGGCACTAGGAGGGGCTTTGGTGGTACTGGGAGCGGTTTTGTTTTTACTGGGAGGACTTTCAGTTGTACTAGAAGGGGTTTCGGATGTACTGGGAGGAGTTTTGGTTGAACTAGGAGGAGTTCTAGTTGTACAGGGAGGAGTTTCACATGTCTTGGAGAGACGGATGCATTTATGCTGCTATAACATGTGGCTCAAATGCATCTCAGTCCACGTCCTGAATTAGTTTGAGTGATCAAATGTGTATCTGTTTTAAAGGTATCTTGCATGCGTTTACACTTTTACACTTGCATTTTTACGTGACTTGGCCTTATTCACATATCCTGATACTCAAAATGCACGAAGCAACCAGGTGTAAACAGGGTCTAAATGTATTCTGTATGTGGTACTGTTTATGTTTTGCAATGGGACACGTTACTGAATACATTTAGGACAGCATATTCAGTATTTACCCATCACTATTCTGCCCAAGCCAGGTTAGGAGTCCCATGTTCTAAACTCCAGTTTTGCAAACTCCTGTTTTTTTTTTCCTCCTTCTTCATGCAAGTAGATTATCTTATATGTAATCTCCTGAGAAACGTCTCCTGAATAACTAGTACTTAAAGGAACTTATATGCATGAAGATGGTCTCAGACATTTGCACAGTACTTTATATATCTAAGCAGGGCTGCAACAACCTGTTAGTCCTGCATGGCTTTAGTTAGAATGGTTATTATGCTATTCTGTCATGCAGCTGAGCATCAGCCACAAAGCCCTCTTTACCAAACAGCACAGAAGTCTGTTGGAGAGGAAGCGCTCTACCTGGAGACGCGCTCTGATAAATCTGCTCAGACTTAAAATGAGCCTGAAGCTCCAGTTGTGTCACCTGTTCTCCGCGCTCTCCGACCTCAGCCTGAAAAAGCTTCAAACCCGACAGAAACGGTCGAATTCCAGTATTTATCGTGTTATAAGCTGCAGGATACTCACACAAAAACTCCGAACAGCAGCACCCGGATCCCAACCTCCAGCGCCAGCTCGCGAATGCTTTTCCTTCGGTCCGGAGGAGACATCTTCATGATCTCTTTCTTTTCCTTCTCTCTCAGCAAATCCAGATCTGATCCAAACGCGAGCGGTGCTGAAAAGTCATCCGGGCTCCGCTCAGCGCTCCGCACTTCAGGCTCGCTCTCCGGCTCGGCGCGAGGAGGAGGAGGAGGAGGAGAAGGAGGAGGAAGGCTGGACTCTTTCTCTTCTCCCGTTTCTTTCTCAGCACCTGTCAGATAAAACAGTTCGTCCTTTCTTGGTTTCGGTCTTTAATCCATTCCGCGCGCGCGCGCCTCCGGTAATCCTGCGCACGAGACAAGCGCGAGAAGTGAGACTCGCAGAAGAGGAACGACGTCAGCAGCGAAGTGAGGGAGAGAAGGAGGAATGAGAGGTGATGCTGCGCGGCAGAGAGAGTGACTCAAGTTTGACTCTCTCTCTCTCTCTCTCTCTCTCTCTCTCCCACACATACACACACAACACACTCAAGTTTGATCAGGATGTCTCTCACTCTCTGTTCTCTCTCTCTCTCTCTCTCTCTCTCCTTCACACACACACACAATACACTCAGGTTTGATCAGAATGTCTCTCACTCTCTCTCTGTTCTCTCTCTCTCTCACTCTCTCTCTCTCTCTCTCCCTCTCTCTCTCTCTTTCTTTTTCTCCCTCTCTCTCTTTCACACACACACACAACACACTCAAGTTTGATCAGCATGTCCCTCACTCTCTCTGTTCTCTCTCTCTCTCTCACACACTCTCTCTCTCCCTCTCTCACACACTCTCTCTCTCCCTCTCTCTCTCACACACACACACACACACAATACACTCAGGTTTGACTGGAATTTCTCCCTATCTATCTATCTATCTATCTATCTATCTATCTATCAGTCAAGAACTCATTTGACATCTGATGCTGGTCGCAGGCTGACTACCTTTTATAAGTGAAACCTGTTTTTTTCAGTTTATCATTTCCCGTCATCCTCTCATCCTCTGTGATACACTATATAGACAAAAGTATGTGGACGCTCCTCCTAGTGATTGAGTTCAGGTGTTTCAGCCGCACTCATTGCTAACAGGTGTATAAAATTAAGCACACAGCCCTGCAGTCTCGATAGACACACACTGGCAGTAGAGGGTCGCGCTGAAGAGCTCAGTGACTTTAAACATGGCTCTGTCATGGGATGCCTCCTCTGCCACAAAGCAACATCAGCAAAAGAGCAGCAGAAAAAGCAGCTGCACACAAGCCTAGAATCAAAATACACAGAGCCAAGCGTCGAAAGCGCCGCCACTGGACTCTGGAGCAGTGGAAACGTGTTCTCCGGAGTGATGAATCAGCTTCTCTATCTGTCAGTCTGATGGACGAGTCTGGGTTTGGCGAATGCCAGGAGAACGTTACCTGCCTGACTGCACTGTGCCAGCTGTAGAGTTTGGTGGAGGAGGGATGATGATATGGGGCTGTTTTTCAGGGGTTGGTTTAGAACCCTTAGTTCCAGTGAAGGATTTAGAATGGGATTCATAAAAGCTCCTGTAAGTGAAATGTGTAGGTGTCCCAATACTTTTGCCCATGTAGTGTATTTCCCGTCATCCCCTCATCCTCTGTGATATACATCCCCTCATCCTCTCATCTTCTGTGATATTTCCCCTCATCCTCTGTGATATACATCCTCTCATCCTGTGATATACATCCCCTCATCCTCTGATCCTCTGATATACATCCCCTCATCCTCTCATCCTCTGATATACATCCCCTCATCCTCTGTGATATACATCCCCTCATCCTCTCATCCTCTGTGATATACATCCCCTCATCCTCTCATCCTCTGATATACATCCCCTCATCCTCTGTGATATACATCCCCTCATCCTCTCATCCTCTGTGATATACATCCCCTCATCCTCTCATCCTGTGATATACATCCCCTCATCCTCTCATCCTGTGATATACATCCCCTCATCCTTTCATCCTCTGTGACATTTTTCTTCATCCTTTCATCCTCTGTGACATTTTTCTTCATCCTTTCATCCTCTGTGACATATGTCTCTTTATCCTTTCATCCTCTATGATATATTTCCCCTCATCCTCTATATGTTTCCCCCTCATCCTCTCATCCTCTGTAATATATTTCCCCTCATCCTCTCATCCTCTATAATTTACATCCCCTCATCCTCTGTGATATATTTCTCCTCATCCTCTATATTTCCCCTCATCCTCTCATCCTCTATGATATACATCCCCTCATCCCCTCATCCTCTGTGATATATTTCTCCTCTCCTCCTCTGTGAAACCTTATTTCTGTCAGTTTCTCTTCAGCACAGCTGAGCTGTCAGAGTGGCCGCGCACCGTCTCGCGCACACAGTGGCAGAAAACTCGCGCCAAAAATTCTGAGGACTGAACCTGCAGGCGAAACAGCTGCACTCCTACCTCACACAAATCCATGAATATTTTATGTAACTTTAACACAGCCGGCCTGCTTCCCATCCCTCCTTTCAGCGCAGAAACAGAGGTGCAGTGAAAGAAAAGACGAAACCCTTCAGGGCTGTTTTATTCCAGAGACTTCAGCAGATTAGAAACCCACACCCCAAGCCCAGTTTTCTCTCTGAGCTTAATTTTGTTTGCGTCTGCGGCTAATGGCTGCAGCTAAGATGCTCGTTAGATGTGTCAACACGGCGGTTGGCTGTGGGTTTACGTCTGTGTGTGGGGGTGGGAGAGTTTCTCAACCCCTGTTTAAGCCATATGGATTCATAATCACTCTGCTTTTCACATAAAGGCCTATTCTTTTCCAAAAAACTCCACCTCGTTTTGCACCCATGATTCCGTCTTCACGCCAGCACAAAACACCTCGTACTCGTGTGCTTCAGATCCACGTGCTATCGTCAGCACCTCGCTAATGAGGAGCAAACAGCAGCAAACCCACATCAAATGAGGAGAACACAAGAAGGAAATCTTCACTTCAAAGCCGCTGCAGTTCAGTTCAGCTCAGCTCTGTAAACGGAGAAGCTCTGCTGCGCCGCGATAGTGAAAAACGCCGAACGCTGCTGTGGACAAAGCGCTTTGTTAGCCCCCCAAAAAACCTGCACCCTGCACTGCACTGGAACGGAACACATTTGGTTCTTTGCCCTGTGAAAGGGTTCTTCAGATTGATGGTGAATGTGCTGTAGAAAAAGGTCTTCTATTGTTTAGAAGCTTGATATCATAACAAAAGAAGAACCCTTTTTGGTGCTATTTAGAACCCTTTTTTACAAAGGTTCTCTATAGAACTACCTACAGCACATTCTTAAGCATGCAAAGGGTTCTTTGACTGTTCATAGTTCTATGTAGAACCATTTTCTTTACAAAAGAACCCTTGAAGAACCATCATTTTTACGACTGTAGCATTAATACTCACAGGTTGGGGGTTTATAAGGAGGTTTTGACTTGGGTTCTTCAAGGGTTCTTTGGTAAAGAAAAAGGTTGTACATAGAACCATGAACACTCAAAGAACCCTTGGCATGATTAAAGCGTTCTTTCCATCGTGAAAGCGTTCTTTAGATTGTTACAATGTCAAGCTTGACAATTGTAGAACCCTTTTTGGTGCTATATAGAACCCTTTTCAAAAAGGTTCTATATAGAACTATCTGCAGCACATTCTGAAGAATCCTTTCATGATGCAAACAACCCATTAATCATAAAAAGGGTTCTTTGAGTGTTCATGTTTCTATGTAGAACCATTTTCATTACTAAAGAACCCTTGAAGAACCATCATTTTTAAGAGTGTAGAATTAATACTCACTATTGGATTCTAGTAGTTCATTAGCACTAAGCTAATGCAATTCTCTGGCTCGTTCTAGATCAAACACGGATATTTGAAGCTTCTAAAAAATATTCCATGTTTGATTTGAGGGTTGTAACAGATATTAACCCCTTAATAGGCCATGGTTCCACCGGTGGGTCCAAAGGTTTGTTACACGCTTCTAAGGCTAAGAATAGCTTGACCAGTTTGCACTGAAGTCCTTGTAGGTCCAGTGTGTCAAACACAAGGCCCGCGGGCCAGATCAGGCCCGCCATACAATCCTATGCAGCCCACAAGTATTTTAATTTTCCCGCTTCACAATATGCTGCACTACAGTCCCCAGCATGCACCGCAACTTAATGTGCTCTGACTCTTCTACCCCAACAACATTTTATGGGACAGCGGTTACACCTCAATTCTACACCAGTCACATCACCAAAATGCATTTCAGCTGAAGTTCAACCAACATAAACATGTAACATCAGCTCAGCAGCTCAGAAACTGAGACCAAGGCCAGGTCCCATTTCGTCTTTTTACCCCTACCCCTTGTTTTCGAGTGTCACCCTAACCCCCTTGGAACTGAGTTACAAGGGGTAGTGGTTGAAATCTTCCCTCTGAAATGAGACCCTCAAATAAAAAGAGCATCACTTCATTAACAGCTACCAGCGCTGCTCTGTAGGCGACCCTGCCAGTCTGCAGTGACAGCAGAGGAGGGTAAAGTTCAGCTCCTCACTGCTGGGCTTTAGTTACACTTAGAGAATCATATAACTTCAAAGAGGGGGCAATTATTTATTATCACCCCCCCCTAATTCTTCAGTGATATGAAGCTGAAGTCAGATATTCGCCAGCTTCTTGTTTGAATTTTCCCGTTCCACCTTAAATGGTGCAGCAGTTACATACTGGCGCTTCAGGCGTCAGAACAGCTGGTCTATTTAAGGTGGAACGGGAAAGTTAGCTAGCTAAATCATTGAAAAGATATTAAACTAAGATAAAACAATGGTTATCGTAACTTTTTAACAGAGAAAATTCTCACATTTGTGGGTTTCTTTGGTCTCTTGTTCTCCATCTTGCCGGTTTTTCTTTTTTTCCTCATAACTCTCTGTTTGGAGTCTCTGAAAAACCTCCATTTGGAGGGTGATGTAGCCCCAACACTTCACCCTCACCCCTCTATCTCAACAAGAATCGGGACACCCTACCCCTAGACAAGAACACGCAAAACAGAGGGCTAAGGGATAAGTGGTAGGGGTGAGAGGTGAAATGGGATTGGGCCCAGGTCTTAATGAACTTGCAGCAAAGAAAGGATGCCAGGCGTCTAGTTCAAGCACACAGGTAGGTTTAAAACACTGAGCTCCTGTGGACGTTAAAATTTTGAATATTTCAAGTGTCCATGTAATATTTCAACTACAATTGTCTGTATTTTACTGCTGAAGTTTATGCATATTTTGAATAAACAATGGCCGGATCAGGTTACAGCACGACATTAATCAAAAATGAAATAAAAACATTTTTTCCTTTGGCCCACAGATTTAATGAGATTGTTTAATGCGGCCCTTTTACTGGCTGAGTTTGACACCCCTGATGTATTTACTGAATAATAAGCCTTAGTATGTAATAAGCCTGAGATTTTAAGGGTTATTTTTTACCTTGTAGCAGTTC